GTGTGACATTTTGCGGTGACATCACTGAGCCGTCTCACATCTGCTATGGCTTCTTCAGTCCCCAGAAATTACTCAGAAATTCACGCTTGCAGGTGTCCACTTTTTTAATATGTTAACAGCCTAGAGAGTTATTTTATATATTCATCTTTTGCTTGTTACAGTGTTATTTTCCTCCGCATGAGGAACTCCACATTGAACAATTGTTTTCTGACTTTCATGGAAAAAAAGACTTTCAAAAAAGCTCCTGCTTCCTGTCTGATGTTTATATAATTTGTCAGTGGGTGGTTGGTGCATAGTTGTGCCTAGTGTGTAATTAATTAAGAAATCACACTTAAAAACAGATGCGGACTGATTAATTGCAACATTCTGCAGTTATTAAGAAGATGCTGGTCCCTTTAACCTAACCCTAACCTAAAAAAAAACTAAAGCTGCAATTACTAGTTGATTGATTGTTTAGATATCCAATTGTCAACGATTTTATAATCTAATAATTGCCTGTGTCACTTTTCCAAAAATGATATGAGATGGTTTCCTGAGTATTCCATACTTTTAAATGGAATATCTTTGAGTTTGGCCTGTTGGTTGGACAAAACAAGACATTTGAAGATGTCCCCTTGGGTTCTGATGGACTCTTTACTATTTTCTGACATTTCATAGACAAATTGATTCATCAGCTGTATAATCAGTAATGAAAATAATAGTAAGTTGTAGCCTGAAACTACACAACTTTGGTCATTGTTTGGCTGTTTACAATGCAGACAAAATCCTTTTTTCTCTTCTGACAAAATAGTGTAAGAAGCTACTAACCACTGGCCTCACTAACTCAAGAAGGACTGAAATCTTACGTCTATAACTTAAAGTTGTAATGGATATTTGTTGATAGGACACTTCAGATACATGGCTCAGGATTTAGATACTTAACAGGCATGCGTTGGTGTCATAACATTTATATGAACCGCAATGGAACCTCTGCATAAAACCTGCATCTGATGTCTTTAATTGTTCATATTCAAACTGTCTTATTTTCCTTGCTACATTGTCTTGACTTTTCTTTTGATGGGCCTGCCTCAAAATGTTTTGAAAGATGAAGGTTTTAGTGAGAGGATATCTCAACAGTGAGCAAGCCAATGTTTGTCGCAGACCTCACTTAGTTTGATTTATAATGCCTGTGTTTTATAATGCACATCACATTTTTCCAACCTGCTAAACTAATGAGAGTAAAAAAAGTTGATATGTTGCAGATTCAGCTCAAGGAAGACTGAAATCTGCGACAGAATCTCTTCATGTACCTGAACAGGCCGGATTCCTGGGTGGAGCTGGTCCACTTGTTATGTTTTAACATCATGACTTTCAATATTTTCTCCGCAGTTATTGACTTAGGAAGAGAGCTCACTGGAATGTTATTTATACAAACATCTCTGCTCTGGAGACAGAAACGATATGTTTGGTGGATTCCAGCCACAGTTTTCCTGAATAAGTAATGTTGGAGATTAGCTGAAAAAGACAGTTGGGGTGGGAGGAGGAGGCGGATAATATAAAGGCTAATACCCTGGTATAAACTGAATAAACCAACCATGCCCATAGCAATAAAGCTGAGGCTCAATGTCCTGCTGAGATTTCAGCAATATGGTGGTATGAGATTCGGTTGGCAGATATGGATTTTCGCTATTATGATATCAGGAAAACGCGATTTCCCAGGGATTTAAGCTGCATTCCAGTTGAGTGAAATGATATTCTAAATATATCCATTAGCTGAGTGAGAAGGACAGTGAATGTCTGTGCTTGCCTGGCCATCAGCTCTACACTAGCTACTAATGACTTTTTGTTGTCTTATAAACAAATACTGGCTTATTATTAATAATAATGAGCCCAAATGTTGTAGCATTTCTAGTCATATTCTGTCTGGTTCTTTTCCTTTATGAATAAGAGAGGAATTCTGTGCTAAAGGGACATTATTTGTATGTTTTATGTACGAAACCTCTTAACAATTAGCTGCAGGAGAGCTTAATGTCAAAATACATATTTACTTAACATTTTAGCTACTATAAACTGTAGAAATGCTTTTATGGTAAGAAAGAGGGGCTGTTTCCATAAGCTTTACCACATCTTTTATTGACATAGGTAATTTATGTTTTGTCAGGGTGTCTACATATTTTTGTTTACATAAATATCATATGGCATTGACATACTTGCACAAAATGGCTGCCAAATAAAACCCCATTAGTTTAAAGGATTGCAGACAAAAATCTTAGGAATTGGTTCTTATCAAGATAAGAGTGACTGAGTGCCCACATGCCCAAACACTCGTGCACTTTGACCCACCTCCTCTGAAACTGCAGAATCTAAAAAAAATACATACATTTGGCTACTTGGTGTTGTCCTATGAACTGCCCTGCCAAGTCAGCTGTTTTTGACTGATGATACAGTATGAGATGATATTTGAACAATTAAACGTTGTTGTGCTACTAGTCTAAAATGCTTTGCTTCTAACTTAACGTTTTGCATGTCCAAAAATACCAAAGTTATAGGAGGGTAACCACCCCCACACTTTCATTATAGCTTATAAATGTAACTTTAACTTACATTAAGTTGGTTAAATGCATTTCACTCAAGCCATAGACAATAACACAATAAGATAAGACAAACAATCTGGCTAAAAAAATGTAGGGATGTGGCTAAAAGTTAGATATATTTGCATTTCAAATGCTTTAGGCTACTGTTATTGTTTAAAAGATGCAAACCAGAAACCACTCTGTATCTTTGAAGAATATAACCATTACTAAAGAGTCAAAATCAATTAACCATAAATTAGTTAAATTATTTTGACCATCATTCAAACGTGTGGAAATGATGGTCAAGGGTTGCTTTAAGCTCGATATCAATGTATATCGTAACAATTTGAAGATTGTTGAATGGAATAAGGCATAAATTGATCTCCACACAAAGAGAGGAAGCTCTTACTCAGAGAAAACTAGAGTTATAGAGAAAAACACGTTCATTTTAGGCAAGCTCTCTGATGTCCAGGGGCAAACTGAACGAAGCTACAGAGCCAAGAAACCGCACATTGTTTTCTGTTTTAGTTTATGAGAGACACTATGGCATGGCACACGGCGGTAACATGATAGTGTATAGTTTGATTTAAAAAGACTTTGTTTCAAGTGGAATTCAAATAAAAGTTGTTAAAAAGTCATAACTCCAGCACTTACCCTCGCTTCCATACTGTTTTCCATTGTTCGCACCCATTTTAAAGAATACATAATCTATGCGCAAAACTCGGTGTATCAAAAGCAGTTAAATTCCAGAGAAACGGGCAGTCTTTCCATAGAGATAGGCTAGACAGTCAGAGTTTTGTGTAGGGCCGCTAGCTCTGACTCCAAATAGTTAATCCAGATGTTGAGCAGAGGACGCCTCAGTATTACGCAAAGCTACAGTCCAGAATCCAGCTTCCAGCGGTGCAGACTTTCTATATCTGAACTTCCACCGACAAAGAGCGGTGAGCTGAAAAAAAATCCCGATTCGAGGAGTTCGGAGAAAACTTTTGTGAAGTGGCCTAAATGGTAAGCAGCTGTTTATCAGGCTGAGTGCGGCCAGACAACTGAGGACTCGCTGCTCTCCTCCTCTGGATCTGGATTTAAAGAGACCGCAGACCAGGGAGGCAGAGCTGGATATTTAAAGAAAGATAAGCCATCGACAGACTGGGATTCAGTGGTAGTGGTGAGAGAAGTACTCAGATACTTTACTTTAGTAAAAGTCGAATAATGAATTACAAGTAGCGTAAGAGTTCTGAATTCCAATTACTTGAGTAAAGGTACGTACGTGTACCATCAAAAACTCATTTTAGTACCAAAAGTAAAATAATCCATTACACAATAGCTAATTTCAGAGTAAATGACTGAAACCATTTGCATTTGAATCTATAATAAGATTTGTTTGCTAATCCACTGTGTATTATTAATCTGAATCTTCAGAGTAACTAGTAATCGACGTTTTTCAATAAAAAAATGTGGAGTAATACGTTTTTGTATATAAGTATCATTGTAACAAACAAAAAGTCCCATCTCAATTACTTGAGGAAAACTGCAAAATTATTAATATCAAATTATACCTTCAACTACAAAAACTCCAAATGATGCTGAATGCTTCATTTCAGAATAAGATATATATTTATCTTAAGCTATAATCAACATAATTGTTTGTCAATTTTGTTCTTCAAGGAAACCAGTGATCAAAATTAATTGATAAATATATAAAACATATTTGCTAAGGAAGTGGAGTAGAAGAATAAAAAAGCAGAACAATGAAATAGTAAAGTAGCATCGTAATTGTACTTACTGGAGTAAATATACTTTCCCCCACTGGAATAACACAACCATAGTCTATGGCTGACCTAATGGAATCATTCAACAATCCCATTCAATTATTTGCCCTTATACCTCATTAATATTTAAGTATTATGTCATCACAGGTGTGACTTGAAGAGATTCACACTCAGCCAATCAGAATTGAGGTCATATAATCTTCTAAATATTCTGAGGATATAGGCCTGCTGACAGAAGAGAATGGTTTAACCACACATGTGGGAATGTGCCTATGAATAGCATTCATCCAGGTCATTGGATATCTAGAAGTAAAGTCGGTGGACAAAGCCAGTTGTCTACTGATGACAGGTGACTTAATATTCTAGATAGAAGTGGAAATTCCTTTCTAAATGCACACAGTATGCAGATCTATAAAGGATAACGTTGTATTTGTGGCTATAGTGACTTCTATTCTCTAGTAACATTTGCAGCACAATGTAAAAGGCCTTTAGCTGCAGCTAAACAGGTAAAAGTAAAAAATATTTAATAGAAATATGGGTAAATATCTATAGTGAAGTGCTGTAAGAGTTAAAGTTAAAGAGTTAGTTTGAACTTTAAATGTTATTCTTTACAGTTGAAATTATTTTATCTATTTAAAATATGTCCACCACATATCGCTATCAATTTACTATTAGGAATATAAACATTGCACATCTTTAATTACTATAAAAGCAGGACATTTAATACCAGAGAGCTCACCTCTCTTTATTTGAAGATTTCTAAATGGAATACAGATTAAGTTAAACTCTACACAAACTTAGATTAAAAAGGTATATATATATATATAACAGTTTTAGATTGAGGCTAAATCATGTAAAAAGGTAAAAGTTACAGTACATAAAACTGCACATTTGCTATTCTTTAAAAGTATTTTTACATTAGGAAAGATGTCATGGCTGCCACCCAGCAAGACGAAGAAGTTTCCATTCCACAAAAGGTATTGAATTACTACACTTTTCACTCAAAATTGGGATAACACCATTTAAAAAAAATGGGATAACAGGTCTAGGAGTGTGATTAAAGTCATTGCACATCTGTAATATTTTATGCTGATCACAATCAGACCCTTCCCCTTGCTATTATTTTTGCTTACAGAAGAGACATTCCTGACTTTAATGTTTACGGTGTTGATCTTTTCACTCTGGTGTTGATCTCTTTACTCTAACGAGCCTTTAAGAATGCACTTTTACAATGTTTGATTGGCTCACATGGTACCAATCAACTGGGCTCTTGGCTGTCTGAGAAAGGTCAAATGCCAAACCTCAAAACCTTTACAGGCAACAATCTCTGCCACACTGGAATGCTAAGTAAGAAACACTTTAGCTTTCTGCAGCAACATTTGCTTAACCAATGTATTTATTTAAGTCTTGAAACGACAAATAAAAAAAAAAGGTAATGTCACCACTTGTAAACATAGTTTCAGATCAGCTCTGACAGGTGGCCATTATTGGTCATCCAGTGTGAAAACACCCCCCCAGGAGCGAAAGGGTAAGGGCTGACAGCAGGACTGGTGTTTATTTCAGGAAGGAGCTCAGATTTGTCAGAGTTGGCATAGCAGGCCGAACCAGAAAGGCTGAAGTCGTCTTCTGGCAGAGCTGCATTCTGGGAGAACGTGGTCAACGCACCATTGGTGTCGGTCGCAGCGGTAGTTGTGGAAGCTGATTGGTCATTTTCAGCCTCTGTGGTGGCCTCAGGGCTGGCAGAAAGTGGGGCAGGGGTGATCTCCTCCAGTTTGAGGTATAATGTCCTCAAGGCCAGAGGGATGGACATGGACCTGAGACACAATTCAAAGAAAAGCAAAGTTCATTGGCATTTTTATCTTGTGTTCTATCAAGAAATGTTAAATTACTGCATTTAAGATGGGCAATCTATTAAGTAGGTATCATCATCTCGCATCAGTAAAGTAAGGGGTATATATAACTTTTGAATACATACTTCTTCATAATAGTTGAGAGGTTTTCATCCATAGACGGGTCCCCTATGTCTGCCCCAAACAAAGTGCAGGTAATCTGATGAGAATCGGATACATTCACCAGCACTGTGTCAAACGAAGAAATACAAAGAAAGTCACACAAGGCATACACTTTTGCAAAAAAATTCAACGTTGACGTAGATAATGAAATGCTTACAAACAACGAGGGAGTCAGTGTGAGGTCCCTGGAAGGTCACAGAAAAGCTGGTGTCAGACTCAGGACGCACTTCAAAGTGTTGGTCACACTCCGAACCTAAGGGGAGAATCCATTATTAAACCATCACATATCTCACTCTAACCTCTTCACCTTCTACACGCTTCCCATTTATCACAACGTACCCCACCATAGATGCATTTCCACCATTATGCTGATGACACCCAGTTCTATATCTTTACCAAATCCATTACTCGTCCCCTTCAAAGCACTCCGCAATTTCGATCTCTTTTACCGCACTGACCTCATACTCGTACTTTTAAACCTCAGACAGAAGTATTCATCCTCCTAATCCGGTCCAAGCACTGGGCTAGTGGGAGGACAGGGCCTTCTCCATTGCTGCCCCCTCCCCCTAGAACTTCCAACTCAGACATTCTACCCCACTCCCCACTTTCAAAACCTCACAAAAATGTAAATCTGCTTTTAAAGGTTGCCTATTATACTGTTTTTCATTAATATATTATAGGTCTCAGATATATAAAACATGTCTGAAGTGGCTCGAAATACCAAACAGATCATGCCTTGTAGCATCATAAACCCCTCTGTTTCAGCCCTGTTTCAAAAGTGCTGATTCTGTGTCTGTTACTTTAGATGAAAATAAGGAGCCACTCCCAACGCCCCTCTGAGAGATATTTGTTTAAAAAGAACACAATGTTGATCTAGGGGGAGATGCAGGTGATATGGTGGGAGGGGGTTACCTTGGTAGGTTATTGGCTAATGGTTACACAAGCCAAAAAATCGTTATGACATCAGCTCATTTTCAGACAGGTTTTTATATAAATGGAGCAGGACAAAAAGTGAACAAATCTTTTTTTCCTGAAACTTTCAGAGACTCTTTACACGGAGGGGACACATGTTTATGTATAAGAGACAGGAAAAAGTTGGTTTTGCATAATAGGTGACCTTTAACTTGTCGGTGACTGGTCCCGCCCATTAATTTCTTCCCCTTTTAATTGGTGTTGGTGTTTTTATTAACCAATACCAACCAAACTTTGTGTTACCTGTTCCGGTACACTGAGAAGTCATACAGCTCCTCAGCAGGGTGTTGATGACACACTGATGTCGAAGCAGCTCCAGTAGGGCTGGTACATGGGCAGGGTGGGTGAAGGGGATACTGTCCACCACAGCCCCTCTTTGGGCAGGCACCTCCCATGCTGCTCCAGGGAGGATATAACTGTGCATCACACTACCAGGAAGAGGCTGGACAGAAACAGAATTGATTCCCTTCATGTAATCAGAGATGGCAAAAGTACCCACATCCTTTAGAAGTACAGTAACTTGTGTTTAAAAATACTCTGGTAAAAGTAGAAGTACTGACTAAACTTCTTTACTCAAGTAAAAGTAAAGAAGTATGGGCTTAGAAATGTACTTAAGTAAAAAGTACCCATAACTACCAACTGCTTTAAAGAGTAACTGACCTCCCTTTATATTAATAAAACAATAATGTCATTGTTAGCTAATTAATGTTTCGATGCTGAACAATGGCAAAATGACAACGTTTTCATTGGTCCCTCTTCTTTAGAGAAGACCAGGAAATGATGGATACACGGATCGTGTTAAAATCAATAGGCAGGCACTGACTCTAAATAATAATGATCACGCCACCAAACAGATTAAAACTAAAGTAACAAAGCTGTTGTAAGAAGTAGAAAGTACAGGTATTTGTGTTAAAAATGTAAGAAGTAAAAGTAAAAAGTCGTCAGAAAAATAAGTAGTGGAGTAAAGTACTGATACCAGAAAATTGTACTTAGGTACAGTAACGAAGTATTTGTACTCCACTACTTCCCACCTCTGCATGTAATCGAGCAAATGTTAAAGCCTGCATAATAATGTAGCTTATATGAACCCAGTTACCTTTCACTTTAAGCAAACACAAATTAGATCATACATACCGCCGTAAAAATAGCATCCTGCTCATCTAATGTCTCCATGTGGATTTTTGCACTTGGTGAACTACTCATAAGAAGCTTGGGTAGGGCTGCCCACTGCAGGTCAACATCTGCTATGACCACATCTATGAAATATAGAGGGGGAACAAGAGAGCATAGGATGGGCTGATACATCCTAATAGATCATTCTAAAAGTGTAATATTTCAAACTAACCTGTTATTTGTCTGAGCTTGTCGACAAAAGAACACATCATTGGTATTGCTGGCTGCAGTTTGAGGTGAAAGCAGGCAGGCAGCATCTCACTAGGCATCTCACTTAATGGCAGGAACACAGGATAACTGCCACAGAGCAGCATAAAACCAGCATTGGCATTCACATTCACAGTGGGGTGTAAAATGAAACGTATCCTGTCGAGTGAGCGATTAAACAGCAACATGTTACCCCTGGGGATCCAGCTGTGGAGGCTGTTGGATCACAGAGGCTGTCTGAAGCTTGTGAGGCACATCACTGACATCAACTGTCACCATTGCAGCCTGCACCACCATCTCTCTATCAGTCATTTCTTCCTCTTAAAAAAGAAGAGATTTTACAAAAGAAAACCTACATTTGGTCTATTCAAGTCTGAAGATTTCTGTCGAATTCACCAAATTAGCATTACATGATACATGATAATTGCATATTTAACTGCATATGTGAAGGAAAAAAAACATAAAATATAATTGTCTTTATGTTGGTAATAGACTGGGGATGTTTGATGGCAATATCTATTATTACGTTTTTTTTAACCCAGTTACCCTTTAGTGTTGTATGTGTGGAATTCCTCATTACATGTCTTTAAAGGCATTGTCATCTTATTCTCTTACACTTACGAGAAATGTCCCACCTCAGTAGAACCTTCATATACCAGACTTTCTAGTTTCATCCCCACCTTTGTTCTGAAGGTTTGCGATGAGGGATTTGTTCATTTATCAAAATTCTGATTTATTAAAAAAATGTATACCTACAAATATTTGAAAAAATAGTTTTCTTATAGATCTGTTGAGGGTATTTTCAGATGTATGTAATGATTGAAATAGATATCTAACATTTGTTCTCCAAAAACTATACAAATGTCACAACAAAAAAAAAGACTTTTGCAAATGTATGCAAATAAACCAATATTTGATATTTATCTGCCTCATTTGCATTTTTAAAAACATGCTATTTCAGTTAGCTTTGAATTCTTAAAAAAACAATTTGCCTTAGTGAAAGGGAGAGGTTTTGTGGGCCCTATTAAATACTTAACACTCAAAATAGGAATGAGTATAATGCATACAAACATTTAATAGGTTTATAAAGTGAACCAATTTCATTGGCCGGAGCAAACATCTTACGTAAATCAGAGGTCTTCATTCCATCAGTTGGGGTGGAATAGAACTGGATAGCCAGAGGGCAATCTAAAGTGAAAAATGAAATGTCTATTAACAAAAATATATTGGAATAGCTTGTGTTTTATGTTTTGTTGGCATAATGTACCTGCTTTTCCAGCAATTAGACACCCAACTCTGCCATTGTTAATCATGTCACCTTGGGCAGAGTCAATTGGCACACTAAAAGCACATATCAATTTGTATTAGTGCTTTTCATGAAATATAATTAATATTCCTATAACAACGGAGCCAGAAAGTATTTGGTATTTTTGCGTGAAGCAATTAATGAAAATCACACAACAACAAGCTCTGTGGTAATGGTATGTTTAGGTTACTCACCATGGCAAAAGTGATATCTGCTCCAAGTCTTTTCCAAGGAATTGCAAAGATGCAAACAATTTTAATTTCTGGTCACTGAGAAAAGAAGACATAAATGCAGAGTTAAATGAGTGCAAGAAGGCCTACAAGTTAACAGCTAAATTACATTTTAAGATTATGTACTTGTCTCCAGGGATGTTGTACTGGGTGAAAAGGTCTGCCAACTTCATGGCGAACTCAGTGAATTGTTTTAACCTGTGCCCCAAAAAAAACGGCACAATCAGCATCAAAAACTATTTATTTATGTAATAATTTCAATGGCACATCTTTATGCATCAAGCTAAATGTCATCATTTACCTCATTTTGTCAACTTACCTCAGCAGCCGCAAAAAGGACTCACTGGGCTGGAAGAAAATTGTATTTTATTACAATGCAGAGTAAAGGGGAGTAATGTAATTTGCAGTCTATTCCACTTACAACAGGGTATCCTCCATGTGGGGCCACTTTGACCTCCTCCACCCCGCCACACAGCAGCAACACCACCTCCAGGTAAAACATATCGGCTGTCAGGTAGCATGTGGCCTCAGTGATGTGAAAGCCCATTCTAGGGAGGATCAAATGTGTGCCAACACGTTTTATTACAAGAGGAATTAAGCTATATAATGAGCTTGTTAATAAAAAAAGTAGACCAATAAAATAGTTATTGTAGGGCTCTTCAGTCACATATCAAAAGCACTATAAATACCCTTGTTGTTTAGCAATCATTTCCAGACGAGACCTCATGGTATTCATAGAGGACACTGAAACATAGAAAGGCAGACATACTCACAGGTGGAATGTCATACAATCGTACACCGAATTATTGGTTTATTGTTTGTTTACCATTTACCACTTCCTGGAGCCTTTCCAAGGATCTAAGCAGCGGCACACGGGAGGCATCTTTTGGTTTGTCCTATTGGGGGACAAAGGGAAGAAAACACAACAATGAACCAGTTGTGTAGTCATCCTTGTGTAACAGTCTCTGGTGCTCGCAGCCCCTCCCATGACACCACAGCGAAGGAAAATGTAGGCTTTTGGAAGCTTTGCACTTTAGGATGGGTATGTTTTTAAACACCATGGGAGGCTGCCACGCCTGCGTTTGTCAAATGAAAACTGACACTGTCCTTTCTGAGAGGCCTGGGTCTATAAAGTCCTCATCAGCATCACTGCCGGCAAAAACTGCATGACTAAGCCTGGCTGCCTTATCCCCTTGGTCAACACATCACTTCACCGCACCAAGTAATCAAGTTTCTTTACGACACAGACCACTGCCAAGCTCCACTTTGTATTAATCCAAAAGTACTATCTGACCGACTGCTCCACCCATGACAAATCTAAAAGAGAAACACACCCTTTCGTAAACTCGGCTTGCGAGTCGGCATAGCAGTGCAAAACACATTTAAAGCATTTTCAACACTTTTTGTTAAGTTTAAAAGACAGCAGAATCTGAAAGGCTTTTTGGGCCCTAAAACTGTAGCAGAATGATTTGCATCTGCAATTGGAAAAAAGGGATTATTTTTACAGAAAAGTAAAGTATAAATATAGAAACATAGCCATAGCCCAAATGCAACCTTAAAAAACAACTTTGTTTTGTTCCAAAAGGCTCCCTACTCACACTATGCCATGTGGTTGAAGGGATTCCAAATAACCCTCAATGCACAAACTGATGAAACAACAAAGACTTGTGTGTTTCAGGATAGATGAGCTCAGTGCGTGGCCACACCAGTTCCTGATCTCCAGCAAGACATCACATATTAGATAAGCCCTCTAGTAAAAAGTACAATAGCTTGTTTAACCAATCATCTATTTTTTCTGCTTTTAACTAAGAGCACACTTTCAAATAACCAGGACAAAGGGTATTTAAACTCCAGTTGTTCGATGTGGAATTTAAACAAAGGGAGTAGCCTAAGCTAAAATGAGAATGAAACAGAGATAGTTTTCTTTTCATTGCAGTTTCTTACCATGCATCTTCGGACAAGCTGAAAGGTTTCTTTCCATGTCTTTTCTGCAAATTTCAAGTGCAGATCAGAGATTATGGACTTCATGACTAAAGCATTTGCCTACAAAAAAAGAAAAAAAGTATATCAAAACATAAAAATACAACATCCACACCATTTAAAACGGACTTTAATCAATTTTAGGGACCTTTAAAGTATATCTTTGGGTTACAAACAAATAGACTACTTTTTGTGTTTGAAATCAATAATAAATGTCTGTAGGCCTAACAGGAACTTTAAATCAACATTACCTGGCACTTGAAAGCCTACGTTACTCTGACTTGAAAGAGGCTTTTTACTTGAACAAACGTGCCAGCATTTATGTGGATTACCAATTATTCAATTAGCCTACCATGCATATCCACTGTCGGTAATCTTTTTTTTTATGTTATACCACGAAACCAAATCACTAAAACAACTCAGAAATAATATTATTAATCATTAAATGTTATCGTTAGTGTGAAATTGATGTTACATTGGCACACAAAGTGAAGCTGAGTGGTGTCTGGTTCTCCCATGCGGGCGGGCGTTGTCAGACAGAGCCAAGCCCCACAGGATGAGTGCACTCAGTCTGCTGCTAAGTCTCTGGAGTTAGCTAGGGAGCTAGCCATGAGCTAACAAGTAGCTAGCTGAGACTTCTCATTCTGCCACCATAATTCAACCTTCGTCAAACGCCGTGCCAAGGTGAATACTGTCTTATTTAAAGGTAGGTGGTGTTATTCATACGAAGGCAACTGTTGTAAAGCTTGCTGCGGTCATGTCTGCTCTTCATTTATTTGAACGTTGTATATTTCAGTTGTGATTAGCCGCTTGTTATCGCTTGCTAGACATTTTGACTGTGTGGCCAACCTAGCTGGCTAGCGAGGATCGATTAAACATCTGTTGCTAGGTATCGGATTTGAATGATTTGTGTTTTGTGCGTTATCTGAGCTCCTACCTTCATGTTCGACTTCCTCACATGTTAATTGATGTCCAGCTGACGAATTGCCTGGTGTGTTGGTAAGTTTGTTAGCCACATCACCCACTGTACCTGCTAGCTTGATTACCTGCTGTTGACATGATAATTAGCACATTGTGCGTTTATATTCATTATTTCAGTCATCTTTTGTTGTAATGATGAGAAAGAATTGTCAGTTTTTAAGATGACAGCATAGCATATTGTTTTGTTTTTTTGAAGTGCCATTACTATCAACGTTATTTACCCAGTTCCATAATTCTAAATACATTTCTTAAGCGTTTATGATACAGCCAATGGATGAAATGTAATAAATCACTATTTTTAGGTCCTATACCTATATACTTGCTGTTGTCCTCATGTCAACGTGTCCTAAAGACTTTAACTTGCCTTACATTAAAAATATTGCATATTGACCTCACATAACGATACATAACGTCATATGGCGTTTTATCAAGTGTAGAAGAGAAACGTTTACATTATGGGGTTTAAAATGGTTGAAGTAAAGGATATTGCTTCCTACACTACATCGTAAATATTGACTTTAAGTGCATACACTCCCTTTGTTAATTTGTTTAATTAATGACCTATTGGCTATATTCCCATTTTAATCCCTGATTCTCAGAAGTCTGGGTGGGCCTGTGTTAGGGAAAAAGCATCAACACACACTTCTGGACATCATGGTATTCCCATAGACTGTCCAGTATGTCAGATTTCATCCTGTCTTGTCAAAGTTTGGAAAATACTGCCAGATGTTATGCAGAAGCTTTAAAACAAGTTATATTTATTTCCTAAATGGCTTTCACAGGTTTCTCTTCGACTAGTGGAATTTGCCTACTGTTTGTGAAGATGTAGTAGATAAGTTTGCTTATCCATATGTCATCAACGTCATCGGGTTTCCCCAAAGGATGCCACAAGCGGGTTTTTTTTGCATTTATTTTACGGTTGTCTGACATCTAGCATGTTAACGTCGGTTGCAAAATATGCATATAAATAATTCAAAATTCTGGCAGATGTTTTTATGTCAAACTTTAATGTTGACTCAGGTATTTTTGTTTGGGTCACCCGAATAATTTCTGCACATTGTATCCGTATTCTTTATTTTTAAGTAAATAATGACTTCTATGTCTTTGTGATTCACAAATATTCACTATAGCTATGTTAGGGGTTCTGCAGACCCAGGGAGAAGTGGTAGTATTTAAATACTGATTTATTTAGCAGTTTCTAGTGCCATCGGCCATTATAACAACAGTGCTTCTTGCTGTAGTCTTAACCTGTGGAAGAGAATTATCATCTGCACTACATATTTAGTGTAATGGCTCTTATTGTATTACTATGGGACACAATGAAGTATAGGAATCTACCTGCAGAAATGTTATCTATAGCCTCGTAAATGATGAGATATCTAAGGATTTCTTCTCTCTTTTTTTCCCCTCAAGGAATTATCATTCGGCCCTTTGTCACAGCTGTATTATACGTTCTACATTTCACAATCCTTCCCTGCACCGCCAGCTTCACCTTGAACTTCATCCCTTTCACACTTGGATCTCCTCCTAGACAGAGCTATGGCAGCTGCTAAGCCAAAGGGGCAGAACTCTCTAGCCCTTCACAAAGTGATAATGGTGGGCAGTGGAGGAGTGGGGAAATCAGCCCTCACACTCCAGTTCATGTATGATGAGGTGAGCAGCTTGCACAACAACAGTTGAGTACATTTAAAATACGTTAAGGTAGAAAGGGTTTCTTTTTTAATGGACAGTTGCTAACATGACATGTTATATTTCCCCCCCCTTGTAGTTTGTTGAAGACTATGAGCCCACCAAAGCAGACAGTTACAGGAAGAAAGTGGTGCTGGACGGAGAGGAGGTACAGATCGACATCCTCGACACAGCTGGACAAGAAGACTATGCAGCCATTCGAGATAACTACTTCCGCAGCGGCGAGGGTTTCCTCTGCGTGTTTTCCATCACAGAACTGGAATCATTTGCAGCAACAGTTGACTTCAGGTCCAGCAGCATAAAATATTACATCAAGGCAGTTTTCCATCCAATATAATTTAACGACATAATGTATCATTCCCCTGCTAAAATGCATGAACAGTCTATGCTCTTTTGGCATTTTGGAACATTAAAGGCTGTATTTTCTACTATTTGACCTCATACTCTTCAGCGAGCCTTTTTATTTTACATAATTCATGGCTGATTGACCTTTCTCTTTTTGCAGAGAGCAGATTCTGCGAGTGAAGGAGGATGAGAATGTGCCCTTCCTCTTGGTTGGTAACAAATCAGATTTGGACGATCGACGGCAGGTTAGCGCAGAGGAGGCGAAGGCACGTGCTGAGCAGTGGGGCGTGTGCTACGTGGAGACTTCTGCCAAAACCCGGGCTAATGTCGACAAGGTACGCTAGACTAGCTTAGCATTCCTCGCTAAATATGCCGTTTATTATGAGCAAACGGAGGAACTATATTTTGTGTTTTTTTTCACAGGTGTTCTTTGACCTGATGAGAGAGATCCGAGCGAGGAAAATGGAGGACAGCAAAGAGAAAAACGGGAAGAAGAAAAGTAAAAGTTTGGCCAAGAGAATTAGAGAGAGGTGTTGTATTTTATAGTGGTAAACAAGGGCAGGATAGCTGCTTATGTACATATACATTTCTCAGACTTTTGCATTTATTTTGTGCCCACACCTGACCATGACTTTCTGTTCCTGGCTAACAGGACACCTGACCGTGTGTCAGGGAGTAGTAAGGTGGCACTCCATTAATAGCTCTAACTTTGTATGTGCTGACACTCCAAATCATGTATGTACCCTCTCCTACTCTGACCAAGTTACAGAGTGTAATACATGGATGGTGTTTGATGTAGGCCTACGCTTGACAAGGGGCTTAAGCCGTGAAATGTTACGAAACCTTTCATTGTAAAGTTTGATGTGTATAATATATTCAGACAACTGTGCCGATACGAAGTGATAGAGCCAAGGTTTGAATGGGGGAAATTGTAAATGAAGATTGGTAAGGAAATAAGTGAACAGACTCAGCAATGAAGTGTCAACCCAGAATTCAGTGCCACCAAGGAAATGTATGTTGCACTGGTGAATCTATGAAGCATTTTAATTGAAGGGTTGTTCGAGTCAAAATTGCACTCTATTTCTATTTGTTGATTTACACCTGGATTTTATTATGTGGTAAGGTTATGACCACATTTTTAACTGTGAAGTCAAACTCTCCCCTTCCTTTTATGTTCTCTATCAACCAGTGTAAGATGAGCGCATTCATGTTTCATCTTTCTTTCCCCTTTGTGTCACTTTGAGTCTTCAAATACACAACTGATCATTACCCTAAAATCTGTGAGGGAACACTTTCAACAGAAGATTAACTTCATTGCCTTTTTTTGTTTGCGATCAAGGAATGCCTGGTGCTCTGATAAAAGGCGATTCCATAACACTACATCCTTTACATGCTGTTTTTAAACACAACCTAAAGTTGATAAAATAAATTGCTTCCAGTCATGTCAAGATTTATTTTGCCAATTTTACTTTTCCTGGCTCAGACTTTTAATCACAAACATTTTCTCAATAGGGACTTGTGTTGGGATAACTTAATGGAATTATGAATTTTAAGGCATACACAAAATGAATGCAAGCTTTGTAGCAGAAAGGTGGTACCTGTCCAAAATAGTTGCTCTCAGTCACCAAAGGAAAATGCTAGCTAGTACAAACAAGTGCCCACTTATTAATGGAACTGAAGGACAACTTGCTATAGTGAGCGTGAAGGGGAAGCACAGCAGTGTTTTTGTCTTTGGCAAAGAGGAACTTATAGAATTTAATTGCGAAGGACCTGGGGGGAAAATTGCAAAGTAACGAGGGATTCAGTAATTCATGTACAGTGCATCACTGTTGCCTCTGTCCATTGTGAATGTGACCCCCACCCACCCCCCATGCCCTTCCTGTTTGCCTGTAATCTTAGCCTGCCATGATGTGCAGAGTTTGAAGGTCGTTGACGGTCTACTTTGTTTACCTTTGCTACGTTTTGTGCAAGGCTTCCAGTTGTTATAAAGCTGCAGTAGCATCTTCGTGAAATTCCTCTTGTAGCTCGTGTACTATTATTTTAGCAGTGTAAACATTGGCAACATAAGAAATTCATCCGTGATTAACACCTACAATTGCATAGACCAAACCACACTGTGAAATATGCCCCTCAACTCTCTTACTTTCCCTTTATGACTGAGCCACTCTTTTTCTTTTAACTTATTGAAAGTAATTTATTTTTCAAAGGCTGACCATCGTTCAGAAATTGTTGCCTCGTTTCACAGTAAATGTTTGTGTGTGACACGTTGCTAACAACAACAGCTCACCATTTACATTACAGGATTTCCTCAACAAATAGGATGTCCAACGCTGGAGTCTATGCAAAAGAGCGATTGTTACTGCAAAGAGCAAGAGACTATGAAACTGGGAAACATTTCTAAAGAGTTTCAGTGAGTGCACTAGAAGCATTTCAGCTTAGAAAACCTTACATCGTTAAAACATATTTTTACATTTTTAAATAAATCATGTTGATTCCTTTGATATTATCAGTTCCTGGTTTTGATTACAGGCTTTGATTGTCTTATATGTCACTGTGTAAATTGTACAAACACGACAGTAATGCAAAAGAATGTCTGGTATTTGTTGTTAACTGAAAAGCACACTGTAGAAAGACTTGGAGTTTAAAGATATGTGAGGCAAACCCAACATGTTGGGAACTTATGGCAATAGAATGTTAAGAAAGTAGTTTGGGTTAATTTGCTCAAGGGCTAACCTCCAGTATAGAAATGATTGAAACACATCTGATGGTTGGAATGATGCAGAAACTGACAGAGTTATAATCACAGTCTGGTAGGCTTCCTTAGCTTATGGACATTGTGTCTGCATTGTTAAAGAATACAGAAGCTACTTTTGGTAAAGTGACCACCATAGTGCTTGCTTACTCTAACATTTGCTTAACCCTGGCCGTTTCTCAATGTCGAGTAAAGCTGCTGCAGAGCCACTATTTCAAGTATACTACGTCATCGAGTGGCGCCAAATGCTGGGCATTTAAACAGTCCTTCGGCGCCACTCGATGACGTAGTATACTTGAAATAGTGGCTCTGCAGCAGCTTTACTTGACATTGAGAAACGGCCACAGTCTTAATTCTTGTTTCAGTACTTCTCTTTAGAAGAAAACACTCTAATTATTTTTTCTTTGTCTTCATGTTAATAGACTTGATGGCCCAAATATTTTTCAAGGGTGATACTAAACTGATATTTGTGTGAAAACTATGAGCAAACTGTCCTACTGGGTATTGAAGTAGCTTTTACTGTGATTTAAATACCCTTGGAAGAAAGAAAATGTACCTATGTCTATGATTGGATGGTTGTATGTATGACATCAACAACATGTTTTCTTCCTATTTTAGAACATAACCACTAATGTAGCCCGTCTGTCTATCTGTTTGTGAATGCAAGAGGTGAAGCTTACATTTCAGTTAATTTTTTTTGTGAGTTATATGAAACATGGCAAATAAAATGGATATTACTAATAATATTTTCCAAATGTATTCAGATTTTGTGTGTGATGTTTTCTTGACTTATTACAATGAGGAGTGACTGATTGGTGT